TCTGGCACACTGAATTCAATATTTAACCCAAGATTAACCGCACTCCTCCAAGTAAATGACTCTAACTAATCCCAAGACCCAAACACACTCAATTAATATGACCATTACTAATCGAGTGAACATTTTTCCAAATTTTTTCGCTTCATTCGCGACTGAAAAACAAACACTAACCCCCCTCAACTCAACACAACACATCTGACCCAACTGAAACCGAAACCGTTGCCCAATTATCGAATCGAATTTCAACAAAACAAACAAACGAAATCAATCTCAAACTCGTTTCCGGCCGCGTCGCAACCGAAAATCCAAATCATAATCAAAATCAAACCAAATACAATAATTAATCAATACTAAAATCGAACAAAAACAACAACAAACAACAAATGCAAATCACTGGCCAAATCAGGACCTGCTGGCCAGTCGGTTCCAGCACAAGTGCATCAGTCCGCTGATGGCGTCTTCAAGGCGGAGTTCGTGCCCAGAGTCGTCGGCGAGCATCGCGTCAATGTCACGGTCAATGGACTGGCCACCGCTGGGAGTCCCTATGCAGCCAAGGTAAATGCAGGAAGAGGAAACCAAAGCTTGAATTTTATTCATTTATTTTTTTACTTAAAAGGTCTACGATGTCAGCGCCATCAAGGTGAAGAATGTAAGCAGCGGTACCGTGGGCAAGCCGGTTACCTTCCTGGTTGAGACCTCCCAGGCTGGACCCGGTAATCTGGAGGTAACCGTAAATGGCGGCAGGGTTCCCACATCAGCCCAGGCCCAGGGACAGCACACCTATGCCATCAGCTTCACTCCTCGCGAGGCCGAGAGTCACACTGTGGAGCTGCGATTTAATAGCCAGGATGTACCCGGCTCGCCATTCACTTGTCGCGTGGCAGCCGCCGCTCGTATCCAATCCCCGGAGACGATGGACAAGGTCAGCGTGGGCCGTCTGTTTGAATTCGTAGTGGAATCGGACACGAAGCCAACGGTGGAAGTACTGGGTCCTGCCAGGCGGAGTGTACCCGTCAAGATTGATTCCCTGGGCTCTTCAACTTTGGGCTACAATGTCAAGTTCGAGCCCATGGAGGTGGGTGATCATTCGGTGGAGGTCCGTCTCCCAGGCGGTGGCCATGTGGAGGGCAGCCCGTTCCTCCTGAAAGCCTACTCCGCTGAGAAAGTCATCGTCACGGATATCCGAGCCGGAGTGGTTAACAAGAGCGTTAGCTTTGGAATAAATGCCTCGCAGGCCGGAGCTGGCAACCTGGAGATCATTGTGGCCGTCAATGGCAAGAATGTGCCCAACTTTGTCCAATCCGAGGGCAATGCCCGGTTTAAAGTGAACTTCAAGCCCACGGAGGCGGCCACCCACTCGCTATCCGTACGATTTAACGGACATCCGGTGCCGGGCTCACCCTTCAGCTGTCATATAGCCGCCGCAGCTGCTTCGCCTTCGATGGGCTTGCCCCGGGCCATGGCCATGGGTGAGTGCCTGAAGCAGGCTGCCGTCAAGATGGACAACACCTTCGAGCTCGAAGGCTTCGAGGGCACGGAACCGCAGATCTTTGTGACCTCGCCGTCGGGAGACAACGAGCATTGCCAGTTGAGTCAGCACGACGGAGGCAGTTACTCTGCCTCGTTCAGACCCACCACTGTGGGTCGTCACCTGATCAGTGTGACGGCCAACGACCAGCACATCAATGGATCCCCCTTCAGCTGCAACGTCTTCGATGTCTCCAGGGTCAGCATCAGTGGCCTAGAGCAGCAGTATGGACCGGCCAGTCTAGGAGTGCCGGTAACCTTCAGTGTGGATGCGGCAGGAGCTGGCGAAGGAACCCTGGAACTGGTGGTCTCCACAGACAGCAGCACTGTCAAAGCAGAAGTGGTTGCCTGCGCCCGGGGACTCTATGACGTGACCTTTGTGCCCCAGAGCACGGAACCGCACTACGTTAACATCACCTTCAATGAGGTGGCCGTGGATGGTAGCCCCTTCCGCGTGGACATTCAGCAGCACACGCAGCATATACAGATTGGTAGCTTGGCGGCCATTGACTTCCCGGCGGATGACCAGATTGTGGAGATCTTCTCGCCGGATCAGAAGTCTGTTCCCTACTCGATCAACAGACAGACGGCCGAGTTCCGTACCCACATGACGGGGAACTATACGCTGCGCTTTATAGACCGCGAGACGCGACAGCATATTGGCTCCCGCACGTTGTGCGTTTTCGATCCTACCTTGGTGAAGATCACCGAGGTCAGCGAGGCTTTCTGCCATCGTCCGGCCAGCATTGGAGTCTCCTTGAATGAAGCCGGCCAGGGGGATCTCTCGGCTTTGGTTCGTTGTGGCGCCACCGAGGTGCCGCACACCATACGCGGACCCAGCAAGGCCGGAGTCTATGAGATCGTTTACCAGCCCACTCGAGTGGCTCCCCACAAGATCAGCATCCTATTCAACGACGTGCCCATTTCCCTGAAGCCCCTGGAGATAAACGTTCTGCCCGCAAGTGCTGGCAAGGAGATCAGCGTCAGTGGATTGGGATTGTATCAGTCTCGCGTGGGCAAGACCACGTCCTTTGCCATCGACACGGTCAAGAGGCCAGCTAGGGAGTTCGATGTGGTGGTCTCTGGTCCAGGAGGACAGGCATTGCCTGTGAGGTGCTATCAGACCAAGAACGGGCACTTGCAAGCCGAGTTCACCATCAACAAACCGGGACAGTGTGTGATTGGTGAGTCCACTAATAAAGTAACAAAGTAACTTGTCATAATTCCAATATTCTCCGCAGAGGTGCTCCACCAATCGAAGCCACTGCCTGGCAGTCCCTTCACCTGTGAGTCCTTCGACAGCAGCAAGGTCACAACGCAGGGTGTATCCAAGGAACCGCTGGCCCTGCACAGTCCCAACAGCTTCACCGTGCGAACCGATAATGCCGGAACCGCCGAACTCGAGGCCTTTGCCATCTCCCCCAGCAACCAAAGTCTGCCTGTGCTAATCAGCGAGCAGTCAGAGGGAGTCTACAATGTGGAGTTTGTGCCCTCGCAGCCGGGCAATTACAAGCTGACGCTGATGTACGGCGGAGAGACCATTCCCAGTTCGCCGCTAAGCTTTACAGCCTCCGCCAGCGGAGTGAGAAACGATGCCCGGGCAGCTGGCCATGGACTGGAGGTGTGTCATCGCAACAAGGAGGCCTCCTTCGTTGTCTACTGTCCCATCGCACCCAATGTTCAAATCGAGCGTTTGGATGAATATGGCGAGCGGATAGAGCCCAAGATCAAGGCCTTGGGTAATAATGAGTGGCGCATCTCCTACACCATCCTATCCGTGGGCAAATACGAGATCCGGGCGAGCTGTCCAAATCGAGGAAGCTTGCCGGGATCGCCGTGGCACATCAGCTGCGTGGAGTCCAACAAGGTCACACCTGTGGGTGGCTGGGGAACATTGGTCGATCACGATGGCCGACTCATACTCCCAGCTAGAATCATCTTCGAGGTGGAAAATGCGGGTCCTGGCAAACTGGTGTGCAGCATCGATGGAATCGAAATACCCGTGGATAAGCTGGCGGACGGCAAGATGTGCCTGAACATCACAGGCGAAAATCTGGCTGCCGGCGAGCATGATTTGGATCTAACCTGGAGCGGCTTGACCATCACCCAGTGCCCAAGAAGTGCCTTCGTGACCGGCCAACAAGCTGCTGATAAGGTTCAGCTGATGGGTCGCGGATTGGCTGCCGCTCAGGCAGGAGAGGCGGCGCATTTCACCATTGATGCTTCGAATGCCCCGGCAGGCAGGCCGGATGTGATCCTCACCAGTCAGGACAACACATCGCTGCCGGTAAGTCTGGCGCAGCCCAGACCCAGCGAGAACATTTGGCTGGCCTCATACACACCCCAGAAATCCACCACGGGCACTCTGAATCTCTCCGTGAAGTGGAACGGCAGACTGGTCAAGGGATGCCCGCTAACGGTGGCCGTGGGCTCCTCGATGGATGCCTCAAAGGTGATTGCTTCAGGCGAGGGACTGCGTCATGGAATCGTGGGCAAGGATATCAAGTCCTGGATAGACACAAGGAGAGCCGGACCTGGCGAACTCACCGCCCACTGTGCTGGCGTTCGCAAGGTTGCCTATTGCGAGCTGTACGATCATGGCGATGCCACATTCACGCTGAACATCAAGCCGCAGGAGCCGGGAAGGCATCTGTTGACCATCAAATATGGAGGACAAAATGTCCCTGGATCGCCATTTGCACTTAAAGTGGCCGGCGCTCCCGATGCCAGCAAGGTGAGTTTCTGGAATTATGCATTTTAATTTCTGAATTTTAATGATTTTCGTTTTGAAAAGGTTCGCGTTTATGGCCCTGGCATCGAGCATGGTGTGCTGGCCACCTTCCAGTCGCGCTTTATCTGCGACACTCGAGGTGCTGGTGCTGGCCAGTTGACCGTGCGCGTCCGCGGACCGAAGGGCGCCTTCCGCGTGGAGATGCAGCGTGAGAGCCAAAAGGATCGCACCATACTGTGCAAGGTAACAACACCAAACAACGAATTTTGGCAAGTTTTCAACTAAAAACCTTTTTGATTTTCCAGTATGATCCAACCGAACCCGGAGACTACCGCGTGGAGGTCAAGTGGGCGGGCGAATTCGTGCCAGGATCACCCTTCCCCGTCATGATCTTCGACACTGAGGAGGAGTTACGAAGGTATTTGCAGGGCATATGAGGCCAGCTCAACCACCATGTCATCGTCTTCCCCAGTGGCCTCAGTCCATTGCCCATAGCCCGCGATCAAGCGCGCCGCAAGGCATCGACCTGTACTCCGCTGTAGCTGATCCAGGACCTAAACCTTTGTAGTATATTTAAATAAGCTAACAATGATACCTAAAGAGTTGCATAAATATGTTGTACTAATCGAAGCTAGCTAACTGAAAAGCAGAACAAATCGAATAACGAAATCATACCTAGGCTAATCCAAAAAGAAGGATATATTAATATAGATTAAATAATAATAATATGTTGAGCAATGTATAAACTTGCAATGAATTAATTGGTTTAGTTATTTAGCCTTGTATGCAATACACACACTTAAATACATAGCTGCGTTAAACATAATCCCATTTATTTAATTTGGTAAAAAACTAAGTGGGCGTAGGAATATAGGGTCATTATATAGGTAAGAACTTAGGATACCTAAGCCTAATTCATAAAAGTTCACATAACTTAAGGGTTGGGACAACAAAAGTTCACTGATCTACTGCGAAAAATATTTCGAAATTTTTCTCAGAATCCACATCTTCGGGCAGAGCGAATTCATGGTTGAAATCTTCGCGATAGGTTCGAACAAATTCAATTACATTCTCCTCTAGCTTCTTTCTTTGCGCCATATCGACACCGGACACAGTATCCGTAATCTTGTTGCTCATGAGCAGCATGGATAGCAGGACTCGTCGGTTCTTCAGCTGCAAATCCTCGAATCTTTCGTGCATTATCAGCTCCGTCCAGGGCTGCTGGAAGAATTGAAGAAAATTGGTAATCCAGCCCGACTTGTAGCGACCGCGTATGTCGTTAAGCAGCTTGGCGTGCTTGCCGCAAAAGTATTCCAGGAAGTAAAGTCTCTTCTCCTGAAAGGGAAGCATGGCATATGTAAGTGAGAATTATAGATTTTTCTTGTGTTATTCAAACCTTCTTGGTGACGCACACAATCTCCGTGACAATCCTCTTTAAGTTGAGTCGAATACGCACAAAGTCTCCATCCTCGTAGGTTGTCATATTTTCGGTAAAATCCGCCGGAAGTTGGCCAATGAGCAGTGGTTTGGGTTGAATGACCTTGACGATGTGATAACCCATGGGCAGCATGCCCGTGAACATGTAGGGCCTTATAAAGCGCGGCTGCATCACTATCTTCAGCATGCCCAGCTCAAAGGCCACCTGGAAATGAGATTTAAATAAATTCAAATACAGTTTTCCAACGTAAAAGAAGCCCTTACCTTCTCGGCGCATTCCTGTGGATTGGTGTGTTTGAACTGATAGTTGGGCAAGGGGTCTATGACTATATTTTTGCCCGCCGCATAGATGTCGGGATCAACCGTACAGAAACGTGTATTGACCACAATATTCCTGTGCCACATTTCAAGGTTCGCATCGGCAAGAACTGCAAGCGATTTAAATAAGGATTCAGTTGGCTTTATGCATTTCCCACTCACTTTTTTCCAACGACGAGGACATGAAATTAGAATTATAGTTGACGAACAGAGTGCAGTCCAGCAAAATTTTGTTTTTACGAGGAATCGTTATAAACTCCACGCGCTCGATGGAGTAGTCTTTTTCGTTAAAGTAAAACCTAGAGTAGTTGGTCGATACATAAGTCGTGATACCCAGATCAGCAACCATTTCCAGTATGATAGGATCTAGTGTGTTATCGGCACAGGGATTACCCTGCTCCTCGGGCGCTGTCGACATGTGGGGCTGCACGTACGTAATATGCTTGGCCATGCAGCCGTGGGTCACCATAAAGTGTAGGCACTCATAGGCAGCTATTCCATAGCCGTACACTATAACGTTGAAGGGTTCCCCCCATTGAACCAACTCTCGTAGCTTGTGGTAAAAGATAATCCGGTCCAGTCGATAATTGTTCGCCACATAGTTCGCCGGTGGCTGACGACCGTTGAACTCGCTATCCTCAAAGCCAAACTTTGTGTCATCCATTATGACGAGTGTCTCGTAGTGAAGTCTGCATCCGTCCACCAGATCTACAATTTGCTTTTCTCTGTCGGAGATTTAAGGATCACTACCATCTGTATCCCATTGGCTGCGGGACTCACTCACCTATCTATTTTCTTCAGTGTTCCGGGGACAAAGCGGACCCAGTGCCTTATGTCCAACCGTTGCGTAGTATCCCTTACATAGGGATGATCGTTGCCGGTATTTACATAACAGTTTCTGCCATTGTGGCAGTAAGCGCACCTGAATTCGCAGTCGTAGGCTGCCTCCACAACTCCCTGCGGCACCACTATCGTGAGATCCATCTTGGGCAGGCAGTTAAACTTTCTGAACTTGTCTAAACTGAATGGAAATATTACGTTATTGCCAATTGAATAGTGTGTAGTGGTCTCACTCTTTAGTGTTCCAGGAAAAGATAATAATGCGCAGGAAGGCACGAGCAATCTCAGAGAAACCTATGATCAACAGGGACTGCTGAGTCCCCAGATGCTTGGTAGGCATCAGATTGTAACAGAAGGCACGTAGTCGACTGGTGGTCTTTTCCGCGCCATGCAGGTTGACCATGTTGGAGGAGCGCCTCCGAAAGATGGCTTTTTGGAAATGGTTCTTTTTCATGCGTCGCGGCTCCAAGGGCATCATGTTGGACGTGAGGTCATTGGGCAAAGAAATACCCTGTAAGAGACCTTTAATTAACTTCCCCCTAGAAATCTTTAATCAACCCTGGACCCACCATAAAGTAATTGATGTAGTAAAGTTCCTGGTAATCATCGTACAAGGCCACCGTCCGAAAGATGGTACTGCTCCACATCTGGAAGAAGGGATGTAGCTTGAAGATGAGGACCTCTCCCCGGTTGTTGGTTAAATTGAACTGATCCCGAGGCAGCATAAATAGCCTGCACAATTCCTTATAGCCCAGAAAGGGTCTGCAGGACAATCAAGGATCGGCTGAGTTGATCGAAAAGTTTCCAAACTCACCTCAATATAATGAACCCCACAATTGGACATTCCGCAAGCCATTTGGATTTACCACAGCGAACGGTGAAGCAGCTGAATTCACTGTCGGTATTATCAAACATATCCTCGAAGATTTGATTAAAAAGATGAAGAACCTCATCTATGTAGTTGTCCCCACCGTTTGTGTCCTCCTCATTATCAGGCATGTGGGAATACCTGCTGGAGGATTGCGCGGAGATGATGTTTCTAATATCATCGACCTCGTGCCTCTCCATACGGAATACGCGGATTTCGCCAAACAAGGTGCTGCGATTGGCAACGAATACGTTCTCTTCGACTGTGCAATTTGGCCGTAAGTAAATGGGCTAAAATGGCGAAATCAATAAGCCAACTCTTAGGGTATATTCCAAGCTATAATAGGCCTCACCAGAAAAAACCGCAGCAATTCCTGCTGACAAGGACTCATGGTCATTATGGTCGGCACCGTTGTCACGCAGTAATCGAGATCTGGGAAGGCACTGAATACAGCCGACAGCGCAAAGAAGGTATACTCGGGCCGCACCAAAGGATGCAACTGGAACATCTTGAGCAGGAAGGCATTGGACGCCTGGGCCAAAACCTGGGACCGATTGGGGTTATGCGCTTTTTCACCCTCTGGCAAGTCGAAGGTGATTGTCAGTTTATCCTTGTAGGCATAGTAATAGTACCTTGCACTTCGGAGTTCTGAATTTAATTGAATTGAATTAATTAAAACAAGATTTGCGTATTTTGACGGGTTTACTACTTACCCTCGTAGATGTGTTTGAACTTGGCGAAGAGCAACTTCTTTGAAGCAATGTCCTTTTCATTTATATGCAACGCGGATTCGGCCAGTATTTGAAACATTTCTTCCATTTGCGATGTTGTGTACAGGTTCTTCAATGACCTATGCTCTGCAGAACTAAACGAAAGGCAAATCGAATTCATTTGTGAAACACCAAACTCACACAACATTGTATTCAAAACGGGCATGCTTGAGACCCGGCGTATACTTGGCCAGATTACCCAATCGCTCCAAGTGAAAGCTCGTGGCCAGCTGCTCCACGTCTACATAATCCGACAACCACATAAGACCCGCTCCCTTGACGCCCTCAGTGATCTCTTCCTCAAACTGCGCACCGGTTACGATTACTATTAATTGGGGCACACGGATGCTATAGGCTCACCTCAGCAATAATAATCTTTTCAGTGCCCTTGGCTCCCTCCTTTGATCCCTCCATAGCCAATAGGTGCTCGGCTATGTAGAAATCCCCGTACTCTTTTCTTGGATGAGGATCCTCGGAATCAATCATCTCCACAATGTCGTCGTTATCCTCCGGTCTGCCATAAAACAAATTATTAATTAGCAAATATACATACATATAAATCCGAGATTAAAACGAACAGGGCCTTGCGAAAGGTCAGTACTGGCATGATGTCCCGTCGTTGGATCACGATGATCGAGGGCGCAGATGCCATCTCAGTGACAGTCGAGCTCTCGGGATAGTAGCATTTACCGAACGCTTCAACTGCCTCGTATGCCACAGATGAAAGTCCCGGTGGCTTGACCACAATCATATAGTTAACCCTGTGCTCGTTGTAGAAAATCTCCATGATAATCATCTTGGTGATCAAGGGCTGGTTCTCTTTGCAGATAAAGAAGTTGAAGAATATCGTGTTAACCAGCGAGATATAAAAGTCTAGGCTTTGGTCCAGAAGTGACGTTAGGAAATCAAATCAAATCAACCGCGGTACTGCGATTATAACCTACCAAAAGCGACTGTTGAGCCAGTGCAGCCACATATCGTTGGTCAGCACTGGGACATCTGGGTGATTGCAGAACGTGCCGAAGGCCAGTAGTTTGTGGAACTCCTGATTGTCGTAAACGAGCAAGCGATACGCATGACTTTTACAGAACAATATCTGAAGCGGCAGCGCATCCTTGAACCCAAAGTGCCATGTATCCTTGGCCATATAGAGATCCTCCATACGCTTGACATCCTGAATTCCCGCTACATTAATGACAATATTTTTTTCCAAGCTTGCCATTTTTTTATTATTGTTTTAAATAAAAAATGTGAGTTGTGTATCTGAGTTGAGAGCACTACACGTGAAAATGGGAAGGTACAGAAACCGACTGCTTCGGTTTTACAAATTAGTCCTTTGACGCACGATACAATTATAAAAGGTAGTCTCGTCGTTCGAATTTGGATGATTTTTGGTTATTCGTTAACAAATTAGGTTGTGTATGTCACTTACAAGGAGTACTTCTTTTATCGACGGGACTACCTTGTATAATTTAATCTTGCTCTGACGTCTCCGTTGACGCGTCTGTCTCTTCCGTGCCGGGATTCCATGAGAACGGGTTTATCGCAACGAAATCCTCGGGTAGGGCAAACTTGTGCTTGAATTCCGCCCGGTGCTCTCTTAGGAAATTTAGCAGCCTCTGCTCCACGTAGCGCTTGTTTAGAACGTAAAAGTCTTGGTCGGTCACATCCTGGAAGGGACCACGGTTCACGTTTTTCTATGGATTGAATGGTGTAACCGGTTTATAAGAGGGAAACATTACATCCTTATTTATACCCACATTTTGGGCGGCCACCGCCATGGTTTTCAGTATGCCTCTATTCTCCACCTGCAATTCATCAAAATTCTCGTGCATTATCAATTCAGCCCAGGCCTCTTGAAACCACATTAGAAAATCTTGAATCGTATTTGCCTTATAGCGAGCATTAAGATTATTTAAAAGCAACTCGTGCTTGCCACAAAAGTGCTGAAGGAAGTCCAAATAACACTCCTGAAAACCATCAAGGATTCTAGAGAAAGCTAACTAAAACTACACACACACACGTACAAGTTTCGTGACGACTACAATTTCTTCCACCACCATTGTCTGCGAAAGGACCACTCGACAGAAGGTGTTATCCTTGTATGTGGTCATTTTATAGGCGAAAGTGCTGGACGTGCTGGCGAGAAATCTCCGCGGCAGAGTGATCTTCGTGATGAAATAGTTCAGTGGCAGTCTGGCCTGAAAGTGAAGTGGTTCCGAGAACCTGTCCTCAAATTTGTTTATAGGCGCAATGCCCAGATGATGTAACAACTGCAAATGATCATGGGACATTTTCGGATGGGATATATGAAGGACTCGTATCCCTTACCTTGCGGGCAGTCTCTCGCTGGCTAACGAACTTGTACTGATAGTTGCACTCCCGTCGCAGCTTGATGTAGTTGCCAGCCGCGTAAATATTCGGATCGTTGGTCTGGTAGCGTTCGTTTACCAGGATATCGTCTCCCTCCATATCAATGCCAGCACTTTGAATCCCTAACTCAGAATATAATGGGTGCTTGGGAAAAGTAATATGAAAACTAGGTAGGTACACTCACATATCTTGTTTTGTGGTGCCATGTAACCCTCCTCGAAGGAGATGAAGATATCGCACTCATAGCTCACCCGATGGCGGCGTGGAAAATGCTGAAAGACCACCTGCCTAATGAAGTCACCAGACTCATGCAACACCCAGTGGTGGAATTTGTAGTCCTCCAGGACCTTTACGCCGCTGTCAGCGAGGATGTCGTTCAGAATGTATTGCAGGTTAGTGTCCCAGTACGGACTCTTTAACTTGGCCTCCATTTCGTTACCGGTGGATCGATGCGGCTGCAAGCATACTATCCGGGAGCTCTCAACGCCGTGGCTAATTAGGAACGTGACGCACTCGTAGGTGGACAAATTGTTGCCGTAAACCACGATATGGTAGGTGTTCGGCATATCCTCCAGCAGAGCCCGTAACTTGTGAAAAAGCATGAGCTTGTTCAACTGACAGTTTACCTCTACAAAGTTGCACGGGCGAGCGATGGCCACCTCAGAACTCGGCACCCTTAAGACGAACATCCGGGCGCACATTAGCAACAAGGAGTCATAGTAGATATCGCAGGCATTCGCCTTCACGAACTTCTTCTGCCTGTGTGCGATTGTGAATAGATAATAAGATCGAAAATAACTGGTAAAAGCTTTCCCACCTGTTCACCAGCTGCACTCTGCCGGGTATAAAGTTCACCCAGTATCGCATATCCATGCGCGCACAACAGTCCCGGATGTAGCAGGGAACGTTCTGGTACGACAGATAGCAATCACGGCTATAGGCACAATAGGGACACACGAACAGGTCGTCGTACTCCGCTTCCACAACCCCTGGGTTGCAGATAACCGTAACCTCCGGCCAGCTAAGACAGGTGTAGTTGTTTGCGTTGCTGAAGCTACATAGATATGCTCATAGAGTTTAAGAGTTCCGAATTTATAAAGTCCCTAGTGCTCACTCTTTGGTGTTCCACTGAAATATGAGTCGGCGGAGGAAGGCCTTGGTCATGGGGGTGAAGCCAATAATGACAATTTTCTTGCTATTGGTAAACCACTTGTTCGGTTTGAGTCTGTGTCGATAGATGATCAGGTAATCTCGGTCGAAATTCGGCTTGGGAATATTCAACTGGGCCGTCGATGACATCACTTCTATGTGGTCCTTAAAAGGCACAGGAGCCTTCTTTATGGGCCTTGGCTCTAGGACCATCATCATTTTCTTCAAGTCGTTGCCGAACTTGCTTTTCTGCATTTTGTGTCATAAATCATAAAATATTTTATATTAAAATATTATAATATATACCTTGAACGAGGAGATGAAATAGAAGTCGAAAAAGTTCGTCTTCCTGGCCAAATCCCGAAAGATCTGTGCGGAGCTGACTAAGAAGAGTGGGTGGAGGCGCAACGATATGATCTCCGCCCTAAGATGATCCAGATGATTCTCTTGCCGGGGCAGGTGATAGTGATCGAACAGCTTCGAATGGCTGTGGAACTGCCTAAGCACCACGTATCCAATGGGCGTATTACGCTCGATGGATTTCGTTGAGTTCCCGCACCGGATGGTAAATACCAAGAACTCGCTGAACTCGTTCTCCAGCACATCCATCATGATATCCTCGAGGACTCGCAGCTCGTGCTCCAGCTCCGCCCGCTCATTGACCTTGGAGCAGTAGGTGACACTGGCATTCTCTGAAGAGAGAGAAGTATGATTCTTCTCCGACATGTTGCCTATAGCCAGGCTAAGCACCACCGGCATATCGTCCTTTGTCATTTCGTATATGCTGATCTCTCCAAAAATCGTGCTGCGGTGGGTGATGTACATTTCGTCCAGGTCGGACACACTAGTGGGCCTTGCCATCACGGGCTAAGCTCAAAGCAATTATCAAATCCAAAGCCAAATTCAAACTTGGAGCTTACCATGAAGTAAGACAGGACCTCAACGTGACTCCTGATGTTCCGGTTTTTCTTCTGCACTAACAGAATGCAGTAGTCCTTTTCCGGATAAGCGCAGAACGTGGCCACCAGGCAGTTAAAGAGTCGTGGCAGTGGAAACCCCTCACGCGCCACAATGCACTTCAGCAGGAAGACATTCGAGGCCGCCTCAATGTCCTTTGGACCGGAAGGACCAACACCGGTGGGGTACACGAAGTTTATGTACTTTGGTTCATTTTGCATATAGTACTCGTTACTAGTGAGCTCTAAAGGTTATGAAGCACACAGATAGATTAAGCAGGCTATTATCTCTACAACTGAAGATCTCACTATTAATGATGTATTTGAACTTGGAATGCAGGACCTCCCGAATATAAAAGTTATTTTTTTCGTCGTCAACAATGGTGCCTCTAATCGAGCTCATCTTTATCTTGCCCGCACTGGCCACGCTGTCGATAGATAATTTATCGAAAGGTTTTGTTGCAGTCTTGAGCTATTTAATACCTACCTCATGCAACTATCAACTCTCTGTAAACCTCCTAGAATCGTCACATTGTACAGATCCGTGAGGGCATCCGTCGTGAACATGCTGACCGGCGCCCTACGGTTAATGGAACTGCAGGATGCACATGTATATTAGCCGAAAATATGCCTGCCACTCAGGGACGCACACTCACTATACCGTTAAAGCTTCGTATTGGCAGGAACGGCCGTCGGCGCTTTTTACCAGATTACCATAGGCCCCGACCTCGTAGTTTTGCACATAGAAGCGAATGTCAATGTCCGTAGATAGCCACATAAAAACATAAATCTCGGCATCCTGGTCATTGTTGCTCATCTCGCCCACGATAAGGATGTCTTTCTCCGACCCCAAACTCTGGCTCATTACCACTTCGGCTATATAGAAGTCGCCCAGTTCCTTGCGCAACTCAGGTATCTCAACCTCTTGGATGGCAATGATGTCATCGTTGTCCTCGGCTCTGGTGAATATACGGAATATAAAATATCATGAGGACTCTTCAGCTGGAACTTACAGAGCCTTTCGATATGTGATCTTTGGCAACAGCTCAAAGCGATCCACAATGTAAAGCGATTGCGTGTTGTTGTTATTTTCCAAACAATATTCCCGGGGATAAAAGACCTTTGATAGCTCCTCCAGATCATCGAAGGTCTCCATAAAATGTTTTGGTTGTCGTACATTCGGCGTCTTTACGGCGATTAGATACCATACCCTATTTTCCATGTAGAACACTTCGTTTATGATCTCAGCTATCACACACGGATGGTCATGTTTGTAGATGCAAAAGTTACAGAACAAAGCGTTAAGCCAGCTAATGGCGAAGGTTAAACTGCGAGGCGGGAGGCGAATTAGCAACTAAGACATATCTAGATTGTATTCCGGAGGATACCAGTATCTTACGGACAACCACTCCATCCAGCAATCCGAGGGCAGAGCACTAATGCCGGGATAATTGCGGAATTCGGCGTAGGCCACCAAATCAGAGGTTGCCTTGACACGAGCCACCAACCTGTGGGACTGGTAGTTCTGAAAGAGGGACTCCTTGCCCCGATACTTTGGCCGGATATTACCGAACCACTTGATGCCCGGCGACCAGATCAGCTTGTTGATCTCTTCCAGGTCCTCCCCTCTGGCCAACAGCACCTCGAAAGTCATAGTGTGTGTATGTATGTATGTATGTGGAGTATGTATTTTTTTTATTTTTATTTATTTATATTGTGTGAGAAGTATGTCATTGAAAAGCAAAAATATTTTGAAGTGACACTTGGATTTGGGAAAAATAACGTTATATTTTTGCTTTTGTGTATGTATAGGGTTTATTTTATAGAGTTATCCCGTCGATTACATAACACTTGGCCTTGGCCTGCTCGCATTGATCCTTCGTGCCCGCCTTGCTGCTGCCCTCCCATTTGAAGTAGGGGCACTCGTGCTTCTGGTGATAATCGCTCATGCACATGAAAACCATCAATAGGTAGGGACGACAGGCGCCTTTCAGGAGCACCTTGGCTCCGGGACTGGCCTTAAGCAGGTTGTAAACGCCCACAGCATCCTTGCGACAGAAATCGTACATGGCTATGTGGTAATCCTTCTCCTTCGGCCGATTCTCGTACATATTTTCCGCATCCAGCTTGACCATTTTCATATTAATGGTGTCGCTCTTGCCAATGTACTTTTTCTGCTTGTACAGGCACTCCACAAAGCACTAAGAAAAGAATTTATTTGAATAAGTATTTATATAAAAAACACTTTAATAAATATTTAGATACCGAAAGAAAGCGAAGGGTCTTGCTAACGTCCGTGTCTCCAGCCATGGGCAGTTTAGGGGAATGTATAACGAAACATTTCGTCAAGTCTTCCTCTTGTCCAATATAAAGCTCAGAACAGCAGCCATCACGCTGGGTTAAAAGTTAAATTAGCATTTATAATTCTTTAATTAACCTCTCTCACATTCTTGCCACACGTTTCCTCGTTTAATTCCCCGCTAGAACTAGCCACTGCGGTGCCTTCCTCAGGATCCTCTGCCCCCGAAATAACCACCAGGACTAAGGTCAACCAATAACAACTAAGTTTGACCATCGTTTGCCGAATGGTTGTAATTTACAATGGCCAAAAACATTTATAACATCATGTGCTGCCCTCATTATGTGCATAAATTGGATTGCTTAATTAAATGTAACAAATGGCAGTTGTAATTCCCGAAGTGCAATGAGCGGAAAAGCTAAAAATATAATTTATTTTTCGACAGTTTGATGATTTGGCATTTGGAAAATTGGCAACAATTTCCTGCTAATACTTAAACCTAATTTATCAGTTTACTATAAAAGGTGTCAGTTGTAGCTGATTTTGTAGGAGAAACCAGCGCAGAGTCATGAAGTTAATAATTCTTGCAAGTTTTGCCTGTCTGATATGGGTAAGAGTTTGCATTAATAACGATTAATTAATATTTACTAAAGACATATTTATTTTTCAAGTTTGCCAGCGGCATTAAGATTGACTGTGAAAATCCAGAGGCCATTAATGAGGAGCATATCCACTACTGCTGCAAGCATCCCGAGGGACACAATGACATCATTGAGAGCTGTGCCAAGGAAACGGATTTCATGCTGCCCAACCATAACGAGGAGGCACTGGTGGACATCACCGCAGACAAGGCCATTCGGGGCACCTGCTTTGGCAAGTGTGTCTTTGGCAAACTGAAACTGATGAAGGACAACAACCTGGACATGGAGGCTGTGAGGAAATATTTCAATGATAAATTTATCGACGATCCGGAATATGCCAAGGAAATGATCAACGCCTTTGATCACTGTCATGGCAAAAGTGAGTATTAGATGAGCTTATAAACTTGAATATCTTGTTAGCCATCATTGTATTTCCTTCAGGCGAGGAGAACACTTCCAAGTTCCTGTCGAAGCCTATTTTCAAGCAAATGTCCCAGCACTTCTGTGAGCCCAAATCCAGTGTGGTTCTGGCCTGTGTGATTCGTCAATTCTTCCACAACTGTCCAGCGGACCGCTGGTCCAAGACCAAGGAGTGCGAGGACACTCTGGCCTTCAGCAAGAAGTGTCAGGACTCGCTGGCCACTCTTTAGATTTCACTTTAAAGGGATTTGCAATAAAAAATATTATTTCAATTTAATTTTTACAAATTTTTAGAACACTTAAAAAGTAAACAATTAGGGAAGTGTATTTTGAATTTTGTTAAAAAAAATATATAAATAAAATAAAGGAAATAAATCAACTGTTTAAATAATTTACAAATTGTTTGGATCAAATAGCAGCCCGTTTGCGTTTTGGTTTGTATGAAAACACCTTAAGAAAATCTATATTTAAGTTGATATCCTTGAAATCCTTTTCAATATTTTGTCCTTTTCCAAAATTTCTTTTCTTCGCCATTTATTGAATTATTATAACAATTATTTACAAATGTTTACATGGTGGTCAGCACATCCTTGCATCTCTTGGCAAAAGCCAATGTTTCCTGGCATTCGGTGGTATTGGACCAACGATTCTTCGGGCAACTATGGAAGAAGTTATAGATCACGCAGGACATGATGATGCTGGAAGTGGGCTTGCAGAATTTGGCCGTACCAAAGGTCCTTACTATTGGCAGCGACAGGAACTGCTCAGTGGCTGTTTCGGCTTATAAAAAAAAGGGATTTTTCTATTATTAAAAAAAAAACATTTAAAATTTTAAAATTTACTCACTCAGCGAATGACACTTCTCGTAAGCATTCAGCATTTCTGTCTCATACTCTGGATCCGTCTTGTGGTATCTCTTGTAGTAGGATCTGACCTTAATCATGTCCAAGGTACCATTCTCCATCAAATTGTAATGATCAAAAACACATTTGGCCCAGCAGGTGCCCATCATGGCCTGGTCCACGGTCACATCCTCTATGGCCTCCTCGTTGGGATTCGGCAAATGGAAATTGGTTTGTTTGGCGCACGATTCAGTAACATCGTTATGACCATCGGGATGCTGGCAGCAATGGTGAATGTTCTCCTCATGAATACGCTCCGTGTGGCGGCAGTGGACGCGGATAGCTAAGATGCTAGGCTGAAATATAGAATATAAATAAAATATATAAGATAAGTTTTAATTTTTATAATTAGGAAGCTAAGACATGGTATACAATTTCATTAAAGGAGAGGCAGGAGCCCAAGGCAAGGATTTTTTGTTCCTTCTAGTAGTTTCCATGGTAATTTTTTCTGTCTTTGTTTAAAAATAGAATTAGATCTCTCAAAATACACACCAATAACTGCGACAGAATCACACAGAGAATCACAAAGCCAGTCCTCATCATGTTGACTGCTTTTCAGCGAGTGTCCCCTCGTTTTATGTGTCAAATGGTTCCCCTTTGATGGACACAGTTCTCCCTCCTAATGGCATTTTGCAATGTTCCGCATTAATTTAATTCGCATCCATTATTGTGACAACAAACGTGGCAACGGCCAGGTGAACAGGCGGCCACGGAAACTCGCGTCATGGTAACGCCGGCAATCAAATCGTTATTTATTTTCCAAAGCGCGGCTTTCGTTCGCTTAATTAGTCTGAGATTGGCCTTTGAAACTTGATAAGCCGATTTAGGGTAAAAAACAGCAGCAGCAAGATGGGCAAAAAGGGTAAAGGCAAAGGCAACAAGTTGGCCAAAATGTCCGAGGAGGAACGCGCCCGGTATCTACAGATGCGGGCCGACCAGGAGGAGGAGACGAGGCGCCGCAAGATGCAGCTCATTTCCATGTACATGAAGGTATCCATTACTGATTTTTATAGAAAATAATGAAAATCACTTAAGGCATTCTTCGTAATAGAACAAACTGAAAAGGGAGGATGCCTTTGGACGGTTGAACATGGCCAAGATAAACCAAGAGTGGCGCAGCATTTTGCGGCAGGTTAAAATCCAGGAGCTGCGTCGTGAAATCGTCGATGTGGAGACCTTCTTCCAGGAGGCCCTGAAACGCAAAGACCAGGTTATCCATCGACTAATTGCTCATATTGAATCCACCGAGGATATGTACGCCAATCTGCAGCAATCGCATATGGAAAATATTACTAAAATTGTTGGTGGGTTTATTTTTAACATATTTTATCCTTGACAATAAGGATTAAGACTAACAAACAGAAAACTATAAAACCAAACACCTAAATAAGTAACAAACCATCTTGTTCCAAATCCATTCCTATAAACTAAGACACCCATCGTGAACGCATCGAGTTCCTTCGAAGGATCTACGAGGACGACAAACAGGCGGTGCTGAGCGAGTGGGAGCAGGACTCTGCCGGCTTCAAGGATATGCACGCCCAGAAGCAGCAGCAGCTCGAGTGCGTCTTTTACCAGTTGGAGGAGACCACCGACACCGGGATCCGAGACAACCACGAGCGCTTTTTGGACCGCTGCGAGGACTTAAAGAGCGGGGTAAATGGGGGTTAGGAGCTAGGTGAAGAGCATGTTGCCGTGCTCCTGCCAATCCTCGCACTGCGCCTTCGCGTACTCTGACATGCACTTGACCAGCTCCCGGGAGACGGCGCACTTGTTCTGCCTGCTCCGGCCGACGTTGTCCAGATACCGGAAGCACTGCTGCACCGTGTCCGTAAAGAAGCTGCGGAGCTCCCGGTCGCGCAGGTCCTTGGTCAGCAAGTAGCTCACCTTGCGTCGGTCAGGCATTCCATTGCCGTCCACCTGGGGGAGGATTGGGGATGGCGAATACTTATAGTCCAGGCCTGGTATTTACCATTAAATCCAAGGAATAGTCAGTGATGGGTCAACACCTACCATATTCATCTCCTCGAAAAAGCACTGGGCCACACACTGACCTCCATCGCCTCCTCCAGTGTTGTTCCTGCTCTCCTGCTGCCGACTCGGGCTTCGCTGCCACCGGTTCCCATAGCCACTGCGGCCTCCCTGATTCCTATCCCGGTCTTGGTCCTGATCGTCATCCTGATTGCGTCCAAAATCATAGCCATGTCCACCTCCTTGCCTGCCTGTCTGTCCGCGTCCTCGATCCTCATTATCGTCCTGCCGGCGCATGCAGCTCCGAACGGTTCTCTTCAGCTCTGCCTCACCCAATCCCTCCTGCGATCTGCACTTCAGGCTGGAAATGGAGTGCGAGCAGATGCTCAGGCAGATGACCAGCAAGATTAGCAAGCGCATCTCGGCAACTGATTGTGGAAGCAGTTCACTCAACTCCATTTATAGTTGCCGAGAGTGACATCCGAAATGACCGCCTGACTGACACACAATGCTCCACAGTCACCCATCAATCCTCGTTTGGGAATCGCGTGCCGTTTTTAATTCCTAATTTAATTTAATTCCCTTACCCAGATGCAACTGCAGTTGGAACAGATCACCTCTAGGGGAGAGGCCAGGCTGGAGAAGCTATGGCAGGAGTACCAGTCCGTGCTTGCCGGCTATTGCCAGCACATCGAGGGCTTCTATTCGGAATATGTGGACCTCAAGCAGCGGGATGAGGAGGCAGCCCTTCAGATCAGCCAGCAAACCCACGAAATCGAGCATTTAGTGGACCAACTGGCCAATCTGCGCCTAGTGTCCGAGGAATTCTACAACAAGCAACAGGGTCAAGTGGAGCAGCGGCAGTCCATCAAGCAGCAGTTAACGGAAAGACTCCAAGAGCTGCGCACCTGCGTGGAGGACGAGATGGCCAGAGATCATCAGTCCTTCAAGCTTATGTCCGTGGAGAGCTACAATGCTCTGGAGTTTCTCCAAGAGACGGTGGGCAAGGGGGAGATACTAATTCAGCTCTCCGCCGTTTGTGCCAAGATGGAAACAGAGCGGGAGCGAATGTTCCAGCTGCCTGAGATTTCTCGTGAGATTATAGAGATACGGGAAATGGATGATCAACAGGCTGGAGTGTCAAGTGATCCGGCTACTGATCTCTTGAAGGTATTTCTTTGCATTACAAATATTCTCTTATTAGTCCTACTTTTCCTTTCATAAAATGCACTCCTCTCCCAGGACGAGGTGGGTGTGGTGCCTCAAATGGACACCTTCTGGCGGCGGGTAAACAATGTGGCCGTGGATGTGGCCTGTCTGAAGCAGCAAAAGCGTCGCCTGGAGTCAGAGAATGCCCAGCTGAAGGCTCAACTGCAGGATTATCTGGTCAATCTGAATATCGCCAACGGCTCCAACAGCCACATCCACCAATATCTGGCCCGGCGGCCCAAAAGCATGTCCGTGGACCGAGTGTCGCGATTGCAGCTTCAGCCCAAGCAGGTGAGGAGCGCCCTGCCCACAGGTCGTCGTCCTCAGGCGCCCACTCCGCCCACATTTCATTTGCATTCTGGGCGCAGCAGAGTGCCTGCCTTCGAGGCTAATTTTACGAATGTTGTGCGCTCGAGGACCTTAGTCAGGGGCAGGGTGGAGCTGGCCAGGATGGACTGAGATTGGTGATTGGAAAATTGATAAAAAGAAAAACAAAGAAATTAATAAAAAAAAACAAATAATTTAAATTACCAAATAACTGAATAGACCTTCCTAATAAAATAAAATATAACTACTATAATTATTATAATTATTATAGCAAAAATACTTAACATTTTTATCAGAGTTATAAACCACTTACAACGGTAAAACGGTTAAGCGGCGCTGCCAGATCAGCAAAATACGGGGGTTTTTACTATAGCTTAGTATTCTTTTTCATATCGTTCCGCAGCAGAGTTGCCGACTTAGCTACTTTAATGACAAATCGGACTATTTTCAATTGAAAGCCCCTAAATATTTATATTTTTTTATTTTACACATTACTTAAATGAACTGCATTAGGCCAACCCACTGAGGATTTAACTAAAAAGTATCTACTGATCTGTATTAAGAAAGCTGGTGTTGGAAAACAGATATTGGAATATATCCAATTAAGTCATAATAACTACTATAAGCTATAAATTTTAAAGTAAACCAATTTATTTTGCATATTTTAAGTATTTTGTATTAATATTTTGAATTGAAAATAAAAAAAATTGAAATTTATTAAGAACTCTAGCTACTTTTGGCTATTGTGTTGCACTGCTATAATCGCCGACGACGAATAGCGGGCATCACTGTCCCGTACTACCATATCGTTCCGCTGCGCCCTGCACTTCAGTTCCGGTTGTTCCATCTCTCCGATTTCCACAATCCAATTGCGAGTTCACATCAATTGCACGGAAAAGGAAAATAATTAATTCAGCTAAATAAAAGTAAGTGCGCTGTAAGGATATAAGTGATCGAAACGCGAACCTAAAGCCCCCAAATAAGCCCCAATATTGGGGATATGTGTGTGTAAAGTGCAGCTGCTGTCGAGATGTAAAATATTACAACGCGGAGGAGTTATAGATACAACACACTGTTATAGATACAACAACAAGCGGAACGAGGGGGAAAGCCGAGGAACGGCTGGCAGGAGAGAGTGGGAAGGCGCGAGCTCGGGGTGTGGGAGTGCGAGCGAGAGGGTCGGCGGGTTCTTGTTCTTGTAAAATTACCAAAAAGAAAATTCGTTCGGGAAATGTGGAAAATGTGCGCGAGAGCTGCTGCTGCCTCAGAAAACAACCCCGAAAAGCGAGCAATCGACGAGTAAATACCAACAAAACTTACACTGCGCGGCTGATTAATAAGAACTAAAAAAGCGCAATAAAACCGATTTAAACGATGCCCCAAAAAACGGTGGAGTTGAATGAAAAATATAAAAAACGTTATAAAGAAAGTGTGTGAGAACATCATCGTGAAATCAAACTCCGAATCAGAATTTGGATTGTAAATTTTCGGGGCTCGCCGCCATCGAATGGCAGATAAACACACAAAGAGAGATAAATACAGAAATAAAATTAATGGAAAACCAGCATAGACACATACAGTGGAAGCTCGGTGAAGTGAACCATCTGTCAAAGGAGTCTTTGTGAAATAGGGGACGTGGGTAATTTTTAAGAAGTAAGAATTATAATAACATAGTTAAAACTATGATATTTGCATTTATATCCGTTTAAAGTATCTTATATTGCTTTTTAAAGATTTTAAGTTTAGACAGCTAAGTTTGGCTAGCCAGTTATACTTTTATTAATTCATAAATAACAAATAAATAACATAATAAATCGATTAATCAGATCTTATGATAGTTAATGCTAAAATATCTTTTTAGAGTTTACTATAATTTTCTATAAAATAAAAAACAAACTCAGGATAGGTTTTTAACTATATCTTTTCTTAGGTTCAGCAAAAATAATCAGGCGATTTAACTTCAATAGATTTGACTTGAATTCATTAAAAATTAGTTTGTTCTTATTGTTTGTAGCATACTTTCAATTGCAAGTTTTTTTTATAGTAACTGCTATTTTTATTATAAATATTAAGCTAATTACTCCGATTAGTTACAAGATATATTCCCTGCCTCGAGTACGCACTGTACGTGGGTGTGAGTTTGGGTCTGAGGAGTGTGCGGTGTCCGCGTGTGTTATGTGTGTATGTGCTTATCACATGGAAATGCAGGCGGCGTAAGTGGAGCAGTCGAGAAATAATTTGGAATTTTGGACAGATAAAAAGCACATAACACCACACATAAACCCCTTGAAACCCAAAAAATATAATAATAAAATAAAAACGAAAGGCCACGCCTTGCCATTATCCTAACAGCTGCCCATAACATTTCGCTAACTCATATTGCCACCATCAGTCGTAGGAACCACAAACGCTACAATGATCGCCGCTCCATTGAACCATCTGAATAATCAGCTGTAGAGTCACCGCCAGCACCTCCTCCTATGCATACCGATCTTCATAGCATCGCCATCGCCTGGAGCACGACTAGCACAACTACTACTATTAACCCTTGTCCGAGCAGCCGGGGGAGCAGGATGCTGCTTCTGCCGCTGCTCCTCGGCCTCCTGGTGGCGCTGCCAGCAGTTAGAGGTAAACTACCGAGCTCATCCGGATTTCCCCTGTCATCGCATTGCCATGTATCCTGAAACCAATCCTCCTCCTCCTTGCAGGCCAGTACCAATCGCCGCGCATCATCGAGCATCCCACGGATCTGGTGGTCAAGAAAAATGAGCCAGCCACACTTAACTGCAAAGTGGAGGGCAAGCCGGAGCCCACTATCGAGTGGTTTAAGGTACACTGTTATAAATATTTACAAAATTCATGAATTTTAATGTTTATTATTGGGAAATTTTAAGGCTTATATGGGGACAATTGTAGGTTAATAAGCTATTAATCATTCCATAAATCAGAAATTATTATCAAAATTATATTATATAAATATGAGGATTTGTTTTGTTTATACGTTATAAATTCATTAATCTGACTGACCCTGAGAGCGAATAATTTATTTATATAATTCCAGACTGACAGATTTTGATTAAAAATGCAAGAAAATAAAATGTTTATCAAATGAGAGATTGTATGTTTGCAATAATTAAAAAATATACAAAATAATTATAATTAGGATAATAATAATTCTAAAATAGGGCGCCAAAAACCCCATTTTAACTTGGGGATGGTGGGTTAGAAATAGCCAAAACTATCGGTAAGAATACTGTTCTTTTAGCCATTATAAAACAGGTTAATGTTCAAGGTGAATGGCTTATGAGTTTTGCCTTCCTATTAAATAATCCTTTATAACATTTTATATTTGCATTTAATTTGGCCAAATATAAAGTCAAAAATTTATAATATAATGTAATTACGTTTCGGATTTTATCTCAAGTGTAGGGAACAAGCCGAAAACTTGAACCTTTAAATCTCAACTCAATTTCTCACTTTCTCACTCTGGTTTTTAGGATGGCGAACCCGTCAGCACCAACGAGAAGAAGTCACATCGTGTCCAGTTCAAGGACGGTGCACTCTTCTTCTACCGGACGATGCAGGGCAAGAAGGAGCAGGACGGCGGCGAGTACTGGTGCGTGGCCAAGAACCGAGTGGGCCAGGCCGTTAGCCGTCATGCCTCGCTCCAGATAGCTGGTAAGTCCATGTTACTCCACTCCACTCTAGTCCGTAGACTGGTCTGCCCACACGCGAGGCTTTGTTACTGACTATTTTGCCTTTTTTTTTTTTTTTTTGTTGTTCGCCAGTTTTGCGCGACGATTTTCGCGTGGAGCCCAAAGACACGCGAGTGGCCAAAGGCGAGACGGCTCTGCTGGAGTGTGGGCCGCCCAAAGGCATTCCAGAGCCAACGCTCATTTGGATGAAGGTGGGTACCGAAACTAGTCTCACCCAAAATCAGTCAAAGTTTCGCCAGCTAAACCGCTTTTTTCCCCCCGACTAGGATGGCGTTCCCTTGGACGACCTGAAAGCCATGTCGTTTGGCGCCAGCTCGCGCGTGCGTATCGTGGATGGGGGTAACCTGCTGATCAGCAATGTGGAGCCCATTGACGAGGGCAACTACAAGTGCATTGCCCAGAATTTGGTGGGGACACGCGAATCCAGCTACGCCAAGCTAATTGTCCAGGTCAAGCCCTACTTTATGAAGGAGCCCAAGGACCAGGTGATGCTCTATGGCCAGACAGCCACTTTCCACTGTTCCGTGGGCGGTGATCCGCCTCCGAAGGTGCTGTGGAAGAAGGAGGAGGGCAATATTCCAGTGTCGCGAGCTCGAATCCTACACGACGAGAAGAGTTTGGAGCTCTCAAATATCACGCCCAGCGATGAGGGCACCTACGTCTGCGAAGCTCACAATAATGTGGGACAGATCAGTGCCAGAGCTTCGCTCACAGTTCATGGTAAGTCTAGCTTCTTTACAGCCCTAGAGAACCTTCTAATCCATGGTTTTCAATTCCTTAGCTCCACCCAACTTCACCAAGCGACCCAGCAACAGGAAAGTGGGACTCAATGGCGTTGTCCAGCTGCCTTGCATGGCAGCCGGAAATCCACCGCCCTCGGTTTTCTGGACCAAGGAAGGTGTGTCCACACTAATGTTTCCCAATAGCTCCCATGGCAGGCAGCATGTGGCAGCGGATGGAACCCTACAGATCACAGATGTACGGCAGGAGGACGAGGGCTTTTATGTCTGCTCTGCGTTCAGTGTGGTTGATTCCTCCACTGTAAGGGTATTCCTGCAAGTCAGCTCGGTGGACGAGCGACCGCCGCCCATTATTCAAATTGGACCTGCCAATCAGACACTGCCCAAGGGATCGGTGGCCACGCTGCCCTGCCGAGCCACTGGGAACCCTAGTCCCCGCATCAAGTGGTTCCAGAATGGACTTGCCGTGCAAACGGGCAATCGTCACAGTGTCATCCAAGGCAGCTCATTGCGGATTGATGGTAAGATGGTGTAAAAGTACTTGTTTTTTGGATTTCTTATTGATATATCATTTTTTTATAGATCTCCAAGTGAGTGATTCTGGATCCTACACCTGCACGGCTTCCTCGGAACGTGGAGAGACTTCTTGGGTGGCTACCTTAACGGTAAGTTTTAATATTTTTGTTTTAATTTCGAAGTGCTTAAACCCCGAAAACCTTCTTTTTCAGGTGGACAAATCCGGCTCAAATACCCTGCACCGTGTCGCTGATCCCAGCACATATCCTGCTCCGCCAGGCACACCCAAAGTCCTGAATGTCACTCGCTCTAGCATCAGCCTACGTTGGGCCAAAAGTCAAGAAAAGCCTGGCGCTGTGGGACCCATTATCGGGTAAGATTACGCGGCATACAATAAGTTTTCAATTTAAATTTATTTTTATTTACTTTAATCACAGCTACACTGTGGAGTACTTCAGTCCGGATCTGCAAACTGGTTGGATTGTAGCCGCGCATCGTGTGGGCGACACTCAAGTCACTGTAAGATTAACTACAAGTAGCTAAAATTGAACTGTGATTAACTTGTATTATGCTTTCCTTTCAGATCTCTGATCTCAGCCCGGGCACTTCGTATGTCTTTCTTGTGAGAGCCGAGAATTCGCAAGGGGTATCCGTGCCCTCGGGCTTATCGAATGCCATTAAAACTATTGATGAGGACTTTGATGCAGCCTCGGCAAATGATTTGTCAGCCGCAAGAACTTTGCTAACTGGAAAGGTAAGTTTAACCCCCTAAATTACTTAAAGTAAACCATATTAAATGTATTATTATTTCTATTTAAACAGTCCGTGGAGTTGATAGATGCCTCGGCCATTAATGCCAGCGCTGTTCGTCTGGATTGGATGCTGCATGTGAGCGCTGATGAGAAATATGTGGAGGTAAGACCCATTGATTTACTGGTGAAAACATAGACTCAAACCCTTACCTTTCAGGGCATTCGTATACATTACAAGGATGTGAGTTCAGAAGCAGCCCAATATCACTCGATCACTGTTTTGGATACCTCGGCTGAATCGTTTGTGGTGGGCAATCTCAAGAAGTACACCAAATATGAGTTCTTCCTCACGCCCTTCTTTGAGACCATCGAAGGACAGCCCAGCAACTCCAAGGTGGCGCTGACCTATGAAGATGGTGAGTTTTATTATATTTATAATAATTTATAAATAATAAATATTTATAATACCCTTTTCAGTACCCTCTGCCCCGCCGGATAACATACAGATTGGCATGTACAACCAAACCGCTGGCTGGGTGCGCTGGACAGCACCACCCGCCCAGCACCACAATGGCAATTTGTATGGCTATAAGATCGAGGTCAGTGCCGGCAACACCATGAAGGTTTTAGCCAACATGACGTTAAATGCCACAACAACCTCGGTGCTTCTAAATAACCTAACCACCGGAGCCGTGTACAGTGTGCGACTGAATTCCTTTACCAAAGCTGGTGATGGACCCTACTCCAAGCCGGTAAGTTAAATTTTAGAGTCTCGGATACCTCGACTCTTATTAATATTCCTTCCGTTCGCAGATCTCACTTTATATGGATCCCACCCATCATGTGCATCCACCCCGTGCCCATCCCAGTGGCACACACGATGGCCGACATGAGGGTCAGGATATGACTTATCACAGCAATGGAAATATACCCACCGGCAGCAGTAATCCCACCACGCACAAGAAAGCCACTGATTACCTCTCCGGCCCTTGGCTAATGGTGCTGGTGTGCATCTTACTCCTGGTCTTGGTCATTTCGGCAGCCATATCCATGGTTTACTTCAAGAGGAAGCATCAAATGACCAAGCAACTGGGTCATATGAGTGGTAAGTGTTGAAACTATATTTATATTAACAAATCTTATGGCTTTAATTTCCCATTTCCAGTGGTCAGCGACAACGAGATCACTGCCTTAAATCTCAACAGCAAGGAGAGCCTTTGGATTGACCATACCCGTGGCTGGAGAACCGCAGATACGGACAAGGATTCGGGGCTGAGCGAATCTAAGCTTCTTTCCCACGTTAACAGCAGCCAGTCGAACTACAACAACTCTGATGGCGGTACTGACTATGCTGAAGTGGATACCCGCAATCTGACCACATTTTACAACTGCCGCAAGGTGAGTTTCGGGATTACCTCATTAAAGTCTGTTGGTTATCTTAAACATCCTTTCAGAGCCCTGACAATCCCACACCGTATGCCACCACCATGATTATTGGAACCTCCTCGAGTGAAACATGCACTAAGGCAACTTCCTTGAGTGCCGACAAGGATTCAGGCACACATTCACCCTACTCGGACGCCTTTGCGGGCCAACCACCGGTGGCTCCGGTTGTGAAATCCAACTATTTGCAGTATCCTCCAGAGCCCATCAATTGGTCAGAGTTCCTGCCGCCACCACCAGAACATCCACCGCCGTCTTCCACCTATGGGTATGCCCAAGGATCACCGGAATCATCGCGGAAGAGTTCCAAGAGCGCAGGCTCCGGTATATCCACTAACCAAAGGTAAACAAATATTTCTGAAATTTTTGTTTTTTAAAGCTTTTTAAGTATATGAATATGTTCCCTTTGTTAACACACCTTTTCTCTTCTTCCAGCATCCTTAACGCCTCGATACATAGCAGCTCCTCTGGCGGCTTTTCCGCCTGGGGCGTCTCCCCGCAATATGCCGTTGCCTGTCCCCCGGAGAATGTGTACAGCAATCCACTGTCAGCTGTGGCTGGCGGCACACAGAATCGCTACCAGATTACGCCCACCAGCCAGCATCCACCTCAGCTGCCGGCCTACTTTGCCACCACAACTCCGGGCGGAGGAATACCCCCGAATCACCTGCCATTTGCCACCCAGCGACATGCCACCAGTGAGTATCAGGCGGGATTGAATGCAGCACGATGTGCCCAGAATAGGGCCTGCAACAGCTGTGACGCCTTGGCCACGCCCTCGCCCATGCAGCCCCCACCGCCAGTTCCCGTTCCCGTGCCGGAGGGCTGGTACCAGCCAGTGCATCCCAACAGTCACCAGATGCACCCCACCAGCTCCAGTCATCAGATCTATCAGTGCTCATCCGAGTGCTCTGATCACTCGAGGACCTCACACGGTCACAAGCGGCAGCAGCAGCAGCTGGAGGAGCATGGGAGCAGCAGCAAGCGGAGTGGACACCATCGCCGCCAGCCGGCGGTGCAGCCGTGCTTGGAGAGCGAAAATGAGAACATGCTGGCGGAGTACGAGCAGCGTCACTACACCAGCGACTGTTGCAATAGTTCCCGCGAAGGCGACACCTGCTCCTGCAGCGAAGGATCCTGTCTGTACGCCGAGGCGGGGGAGCCGGCGCCACGTCAAATGACTGCTAAGAACACCTAAGGAGGTGGATTAGTCTTAAAGGTAGCATCTAGTCTAAACTCTTCATTCATATCGAACTAGAAACCAGTCGCGTAGTCAAAGTTTCTGCCACAACTAATGGATATGAGATCGAATACGTACGAACAAGGCCCTGGAATGCCACCACAACATATTTCTCCAGGTCATCCCACTATTCTAAGTACTATAACTCGTTTTGATCAAGGAAGGATTCATAATGGAGAAATGGGTTGTTGGGGAATCCAGGGTGCTGACCACCAAACATACTTGTCACAATCATGGGGGCATTGTGCAGCTTTAGCAATTACGAATTTTCCATTATCACATCATCATCATCATCTACTAGCGTAGACACTCATATAGACAGGCACAATGCTCCCCCATCATCCCATGTGCACTACAGAAATGTTCCGCCAGCGGAAACCTTTGTACTTAAGAGAGACGCGTGAGCTGTACGATATAGATATTGCTTCGAGTGGGAGAAAGAGAGACGGTAATCACTAGATGACGGCAGGGATCTGGGTGTCCCAGCAGAACTTCATAAAAATACGTACTCAAAAGGAACTTATAGAGAGAAGACAGGAGAAGGATAAACCAGATCAGGCCATAGCAAGTACACCACTTACGTATGTAGTTAGAACCAGCATGTTTTGGGGCTCTCGAATTGGTCCTAGTCATAGGCTTGATAGCGATACAATACCGATAACTGATTACGATATATAGTAATTGTATGCAAAAACAAAACCCTTTCATATCTACGATCACAATCGAGCGAGCACTTGTCTCCCATTCAGAGTCGAGTTGCGGAGACGAGTGAAACGGCAGTTGCAATGTTTAATGGTTAGTGCTTTTCTATAAACAAGGAATAATATACTTCATTGACCCAGTGAATATATATAGTATATATATTACAAAAACTAAACTACACACACAACAACTACTTACATAGCATTTAGACGAGTTGAGGAGCCAGTCGCACTTGGGGCCGACATAACCGTTCCGTTGTCCAAGGCCCCAGTGCAGATCTTCCTCCATCATGACACACACAATGTTTTCTACAATCTTGCATTTTGAAAAAAGTCTAAAATGTACCTGTGATATAACCCCCATTTATACATTATAGTATTTTAATAATTTTTTATGTATTTATGGTTTCTTGATTTTGAGTAGCGTCAAGTCAAGTTGAAGTTTTTCGTTCATTCTGTTTCGAACAACGAGGAATGTCTGTTGTTTGTTGGGAAACCGCCACGCAACCAGAGAAGCGAATATAGCATAATTTAGAACTTAGGCACGTAACACATTAGAAATGCAAAATGAATATATCATCAAATCGAATCGAATCGATGCGAGGCGAAAGAGATACTTCGCTGCAAGGCACTTTTCTCCCAAAAGACCCCGGATCGTGAGCTGACTCCGGGACAGGAGGTGCTTTCAGAGTCAACGAATCGTTTAAAATAATACTAAATACACGCATATGCATTACATTACCTATATAGAGATCATATAGCACCTAGAACCGCGCATGTATCAAATCAAATCAAAATATGCTTTAGCATACCACTCACACACACATCCACTTCCTTGCTAGCCACATGTACATATATATATATATATTATATATATATAGAAATACATACTCATAATCCTAGTATCGACGAATCCAACTTGCTTGAGTTGAACTGCCCTTCCGTAGCCATATATAGTGCATATATAGAGAGACAAAGCATAGTTGGGTCTGGGTTTTAATAATAATTAGCAACTAGTTTCTAGAGTTGTGTAACGGGAGTATTTTAAAGTCATAGCGTAAACGAATTTTAAGAACGAACCGAAAACAGAAAACCTACAAACCTAAAAACCTTAAACCTAAAAATCGAAAGCGGACATTTAATTTTTAGTGCGTTATGCCATAAACGAACTTTTTCAAAATGCAAAACATAACTGACATCTTACTTACGATATATAAATACTATATCTAGATATATACATATAGCATTTAAAATTACATAAACAATAAAGGAACATTTTACATATATGTGGATAAATCAAGTGGCCGTTTGTCTTGGATTCATTTTCCTTAATTTAAGGGGTTCTTTGGAATATAATGGCTTCCTTTTTCCAGTTGCAGGATCTCTTAAGTTCTTTCAGTTAAAAGGATCTTGGTTCTTTGATCTTAAGTAACCTACTTGCACTTCCTGGTAATACTTCATCCGAATTCCTTTCCTGTTACGCTCCTCGATCGCCTTTGCGGATATCTACACACTTCGCCAGAAATCTCCTTGAGTTGCAGCGGAACTTTGCACTTGAGACAACCCTTGAGATTGTTCCATGACCTCTCAATCCGGTTTCAGCTTACAGCAAGAGCGGTCTGCTGATCATGTGAGTGGGGTGTGGAAGTGGCGGTCTTTCCGAGAGCTGGACAAGTGTTAATTCCCAACGGGACACTCGGGATTCTCTGGCGTTCTTTTTTTTTCCTGAAAGAAATTCACTTGAAAGTAGAGGACACGCCCAAGGATCGGTATCTAGAATCTATTCTTCTTTCTGCGTATTGGAAATTTTAAAAGATTGTGTGAAGATAGGTTTTAGATTGTAAGTATTTGTGTTGAAAGTGTAAGATCTAAGAAGGGAGTATTCTATCTGAGATCACATAGATCAATTAAAGACTATTTGGTTCTTCGATCCTTGAATTTTTTAATTTTTAAGTCCTCCGGTTTATATACGCTTTTGAAATCTTATTTATATTAATTTAAACATTAATATTGTCTTGTCTTTTTTTCACTTTTAAAGAGGGCAGCTTTTCCAATCACAAATCACATGCATTTGGTGGGTGATCAGATTGCCATCAGAGGCAAATTATGTGATGTTCTGTAACAAATCTGTCACAGCTTGACGCCGTTCTGATGCCGGTGTCCAGAATACCACCCCACCTCTAACTCCTCTAGTCTCCTCTGGCTCGGCTCACACCCTTTCGGTTGAGCTGAGTGAAATGCGGGCAGACCACAAATTGGTCAGAGATGGCGATAGCATCAATTGAACAACTTGATGGCGGCTCCTTTTGTATTGTTTCTGTCCCTCCCGCAGCAATGGGCTGGCACCACCGCCTCAATCTGGATCTGAATCTGATGGATGGATGGCAAGTTGAAGCATGGTGACACACAATGCCCCGATAGATCTTGATCCTTTTCATCGAAATAAAATTGGCTTCGTGTTTCTTAAACCCTTAAACTAATCCTAAGTTCCATCCTTTTCTAAGTCCTAAGTACTTTAATCGTCTTACAAGTCGTAAGATACATTCTAACCCAACTAAGCGTGCCTTAAGAGCATGCAAAATCACATAGCCAGCGATTTAACAACCTAATCATCTTAATTTATTCAACATCATTTGGCTTAAGTCGGATGACAGCAGTAAAACCACCTCCTTTGATCTTGCCTTGGCTGCAATAAAGTTCTCAAGCTCCGCTTAATCGATAAGGCTCGAGGGGGCAATGAAGTTAGCAGAGACATCAATTGGCAGATGTGCCCATTTGCAGATATGAATATGCAGATGCGGCCGCATCCGTGTATCTTGTATCTGGTATCTGCAGATAAGACAAGTAGCTGAGCGGATTGCTGGGCCTTCCCTGGCCCAAAACCGCGACATGGCTGCGTGGGTTTGGTCCCGCGTTCCCTCATTGCCTCCGCTGCCCACGGTGATTGCATTTGGCCCGCTTGCATTGCGTCTGCGCGTGTTGCACCTTTTCCGCTGGCTTCCTCTACCTTCTGCGAGTATCTCCTACCTGTGGCAGCTTTAATGATCGTGATCATAGTACGCAATGCGCAAAAAAAAGAAGGAAAAGAGGAAAGGCGAGAGGAGAGGCAGCCGAAAACCAATCGATTATTATATGCGCCGCACTATATTTCAGAGACGCATGGGTATCCGTGTATCCGAGGCAGCGGCAGCAGCAGCAGAGTTCCAGCGAAGAGATTATTTTTATTTTCGTTGGCCGCCTTGACACGTCCGAAAGACTGATAGAGGGAGAGATTGGCCCTTTTTGGCCAAACCAGTTTGACAGGTAGAAGAAGCATATGAGAGGATAGGATGACGATGAGGATGTGGAAAGAGGACGGGGAGAAGGGACAGGACTGAACTGAAGGAGGGTTGGAGGAACGCACGCCTTGCCCTTCTGCCCGCCAGGATAATGACTGTACGACTGCGAGGGTCCTCGGCAGGAGACCGAAGCCTAAGAAATCAACGGAGGTTCGTTTTCCTGGCACTGAGAAAATAATAAATAAAATTAAAATAGGGCTTACACTTTGAAATTAAAGACAACATATTTGATAGTATTTTGTAGATTTGTATAAAATCAGATGTATTTGTTCTGTAAAAATTTAAATTGAATTGCATAAGTGCTTCGACTTACATTAAGATTGTTTTGAAATTATGTATATATAATTGGAATTATATATTGGAATTTTATTGGGTTTTGTTTAGGTTTAAACAATAATAAAATATTCACAGATCTTACGACAAGAATATACGGGAACCTGAGAGTATATAAACCCAAAAACACCTAATAATTTTTTAAAATTTAATTACAATCCGATTTATAAATTCAAGGTTAATAAATTGGTATTGAAGGCATTACTTTTGTAATCCTTTTTTATGAAAATATTTAAATGAAACAAATGTATTTATTTATTAAAGATTTATCTTGCCAACGCTATAATTACAAATATATTTAATAATTGTACTTACATTGGTAATATTATTGATTTAAACTGTTATCAGTGTAATTTTAAATTTATATTTTTACTTATGTTTGAACTTTGCTGTAAAACAAGAAAGAAAGGGAATTATTTTAGTATGTAATCCCTTATTAAATTAAAAAAAGTGCTTTTTTTAGAGAACATGGCCATTTTGTTTCGACTGATTTGATTATATGATTTATAGGATCAGAAATACATCTCCTTCACTGCTTTGCAAACTTCTGACAAAAAGTTTAATACACTGAAAGAGTATAAAAACTGCGCTAAATATGATGCAAAATTGAGAGAAAGAGTATTCTAATTATCCTCCAGACACTTTTGTGCTTTGTGAATAATTTTCCAGGATGCTGATGTACATATGTACGTGTGTATGTTTGAGGGTGCGGGTGTGAGCGTTTCGGGGTCAGGTAGCGACACAGATTTTCCCAGCTCGCAGGCCCCTTTCCCGACTTTGAATCCCGATCCTGGTCCCTCTTTTCTTTTCCTTTCCTTTCCTTTATTCTATTTTATTTGATATTTTTTTAGAAGGCAACCAAAGACGGCGGCGTTTTCCTTTTTTTTTTTTTGTTAGGGGGCGACTTTGCTGCAACTGTGTGAGTGGAGAGGCGAGAGATTCGCTTTCCTAGTATCAATAACAATGCAAGCACCGCTATTGTTGTTGCCATCCGTTGTTGCACTCGGATTTGTGCATCCCAAGCTGAGTTCCTTTGTGTGTGTGTGCGGCAACGTACTTTTTTCTCTTTTTTGGAGTTATCGTTAATATTTTCCTGGAAACCGGGATTGTGTTGTTGCTGCGTTCGCAGGTAGCGAGCACCGATCGCACACACACACACACACTGTCTCAGACAGAACGCACACCGATGCGAAAGATAGAGAGGGAAGACAGGTACCTGCTCGACTTCGGAATGCAGCAGCAGCAGCAGCAACAACAAATGCGTCGGAGTTTGGCATTGAGCAAAAGAATAACCTGAAACCACGGAGCGAGCTGGGGTCCAAAACCAAGCACAGAAAGATAAATCCAAGCCAGATCTAGCACTCAGAGTTAGTCGCTTCTCTAGATACTTTCCTCTCTTCGTCAATCTAACAGTCAGTCTGCCATTCTCTCGCTCTCTTTACCAGTGATGGTCAGAAATAACTATATTTTATATGAGACAATATAAAATAAAATATAATTTTATTTGAAAAAGTCTTAATAATTACTATACTTAACTAACTTAGATTAAAATGACTTTGTAAAATAGCTCCGGAATATATTGATAGGCTACAATAATGTGCATCCGAAAACTCCAATCTTGGGACAAATTAATGTATCTAAACATATTACATATTTTAAAGATATATTTCTTTTAATTTTTCAACGGGTTCACACAAATTTCCAACATTTTCATATCGGGTTTTCCACCCCCGCCTAAAATCTAGCCATAAACAAGCCAATCCTGACTAAAAGTCGCCGTCAAGTCAGAACCCCCAGAGCGAGAGAGAACAGTTTCGAGAGAAAGTTATTGCTACCTGCTCTGCAGCACGGGCAATCTTACCGCTGAATACGTGCTGTCCTGCTCCCACAGATAACACTCGCTCTCCCGCTCTCTCAGCAGTGCTGCGTCACTCCGAGAGAGCCGTAGCTGCTTGCAGGCTATAAGCAACGTTACTTGGCGTTCCGAGCTAAGTATCTTTTCATCTTTCGGATCGCGCGCATCGCTCCGCATCAGTCTCTGCCGCAAAAAGAGACTTGGACTCACTAACTAAGATTAACTCACAAGCCAAACCGAAGTTAGTGCAGCGCGAGTGAATCACAGTGAACCAACTACTAACTAGTCTTTGACCACGCGTAAACACGGAAAATGCAGCTTATATAAAGAATAGCTAAGGAATAACTAAGCAAAGCAGCCAAGCGAACAGAGAAGTGCTAGAAACTAGAGAAGGACATGGCCACCAATACGGAATTGCTGCCCTTCCATCACCAGACGACGCTAGCCGTGCTGAACAACCTAAACAACAACCACTGCGGCGGCTCCAACAGCAATGGAGGCAACGGAGGAGCGGCCACCTCGGCGGGAGGCGGCGCCTCTGTGGGAGGAGCAGGAGCGCCCAGCTGGGCGGCCATTGACGAACTTTACCAACAGACTGAACTGCCGGTATTGACGCGAGCGGGTGCAACCGGCACCACGCATCACCACCTGCTGCGCTTCACGCCCTATGCCCTGCACCACCGCCCGCCGCCACACCATCATCACCAGCTCCAAACCCTTCCGCCAGCCTTGTACCTCCAGCACGCAGCTGCAGCGGCGGCGGCGGCAGCAGCAGCGGCCGCCCACGCGCAGCACCACCATCATCACCACCACCACCTACCGCACAGACCCGCTTCGCCGGAGAGTCCACCACCGGCGGAGGGCACACACATCAGCAACCTCTTCCCGGAGCTGCTCGAGCAAATCTTTGAGCACCTGCCCGTGAGGGATTTGGGCCGTGCGGCCCAGGTCTGCACCGCCTGGCGGGATGCTGCCTACGCTAAGAGCGTGTGGAAGGGTGTGGAGGCCAAGTTGCATCTGAAGCGTTCCAGCCCGAGTCTATTCAACTGTTTGGTGAAGCGGGGCATCAAGAAGGTGCAGATCCTATCGCTGCGGCGCTCTCTAAAGGACCTGGTGCTAGGCGTGCCCGCTTTGACCTCCCTCAACCTCAGTGGCTGCTTTAACGTGGCGGACATGAACCTGGGCCACGCCTTCAGCGTGGATCTGCCCAACCTGAAGACCCTGGATCTCTCCCTGTGCAAGCAAATCACGGACACCAGTCTGGGCCGGATTGCGCAGCATTTAAGGAACCTAGAAACGCTGGAGCTGGGCGGCTGCTGTAACATCACCAACACTGGTCTGCTGCTCATCGCGTGGGGTCTGAAGAAGCTGAAGCACCTGAACCTGCGATCCTGCTGGCACATAAGTGACCAGGGCATTGGCCACCTGGCAGGATTCTCCCGGGAAACGGCGGAGGGCAACCTGCAGCTGGAATACCTTGGATTGCAGGACTGCCAAAGGTTGAGCGACGAAGCGCTGGGACACATCGCCCAGGGTCTGACCTCGCTCAAGTCCATAAACCTGAGCTTCTGCGTCTCGGTGACGGACAGCGGGCTGAAACATCTGGCCCGAATGCCCAAGCTGGAGCAGCTCAACCTGCGCTCCTGCGACAACATCTCCGACATTGGAATGGCTTACCTCACGGAGGGCGGCAGCGGGATCAACTCTCTGGACGTTAGCTTCTGCGACAAGATCAGCGATCAGGCGCTCACCCACATCGCCCAAGGACTCTATCGGCTGAGATCCCTCTCACTGAATCAGTGCCAGATCACCGATCAAGGCATGCTGAAGATTGCCAAGGCGCTGCACGAGCTGGAGAACCTGAACATTGGCCAGTGCAGCCGGATCACGGACAAGGGACTGCAGACGCTCGCCGAGGACCTAACGAACCTCAAGACCATTGATCTCTACGGCTGCACGCAGCTCAGCTCCAAGGGCATCGACATCATCATGAAGCTGCCCAAGCTGCAGAAGCTCAATCTGGGCCTCTGGCTGGTGAGATGATGTGTCCACCACGACTGCAACGCCTGTGCTGAGGAGGAGGCGGCAGCGGCACGCAGTACCAATAATTCCCAACCTTAGATTCCTACATCGGGACGGAACGGAAGGGGGCGGGACGGGGCGAAGTCGGTCTGAGCAGACAAGATACACTGAAAACTCATAGCTTTCGTTTGCCATACCAAACGCTGTACTACATTTTTTTATACGAACAGAGTAGAAACAGGCGGAGAAGCTGAAAACAACGCGGCAACAACAAAAAGCAAACAATGAAACACACACAAGGCGGAGGAGAGTGGGGGGACAGCGACAGAAAGAGAGAGCGGGATGGAGACAGACGGCGTCAGACGGAGAGTGATGCCATTCTGGCTTTTTTAATATCAAAATTGGGTTTCCTTTAAAACAGGGCGGAATATAAGGAAATATCTAAAGGAGAGCCAAGCTGAGGTCCTTATAGTTTATTTGTATTACCTGAAATTCTCTGTTTTCTGATGCCAATTTTTGACAAAAACAGAATCTCTCCCCATCATGTAGTATCCAAGCCCGCTAGATGTAGCTTTTTCCCGCTAAAAGCCAGGCAACACTGTTCGTGGAGCTTGCTGCGCTGCGTTACGTTGTGTTGTTGTGTATGCCGCAGGTTCCTAAAGGGGGGTAAGTGTAGGCCAGAGCAAGAGGGGCGACAGCCGCTGGCGTCGGCTTACACGCACGCAGCAGCGATAAAAAATAACGAAAAACGAGAGAGAAAAAGAAACAGCAAGCAGCAGCAACAACAACTGCAGCGATGGCCGACAGCAACAAAGTGCATGGCGATGGAGACGCGCGATAAGCAGCAGGAGGGAGCGAGAGGGAGCTAGGACTGCGAGTAGAGTGGGCAGCGCATTTATATACACATATGAGCGTATGTGTGTGTGTGTGCAATGCAGGCCGCAGTTAAGCAGATGCAAATAAATTTAAATAGTTTATTTTAATTCACGCTTCGGCTACAAAAGCCAGCGTCCTCCATTGCCACAGCAACAACAACTACAGCAGCAGCAGCAGAAACAATAAAACAAAGAGCGGGCGACGAAGGCAGTGTGGGGAGTGGTAGTGGGGAATTAAAGCTCTTTTGGAGACTTGACTCTCCGCTCTTGTGTTGCCTTTGTTGCTCTTGTCTCTCCTCTCCGTCGCATATTTCTTGCTCCCTTTTTCGTTTGTTTGTATCTTTTTGTTATTGTCTTTCTCGACGTCTTCTCCGCGTCTCTCGTTCGTTGCGAATTTGTTTAGTACAGCGTCGTTAGTTATGCCGTTTAATTTAGTTGATTAAAACGTAAACAAAAAGTAAAGGAATTTAAGCAAAAACAATGTTAATAGTAGATGCGTAAATGTAATTCTTAGTTCTTAAACATTTGTCAAGCCACAATTAGTCAAATAACGAAAAACGAGGGGAGATAACAAACCGTATTAACACAAGTTATATAAAAAAAAAAAAAAAACAAAACAAAAACATACAAAACAACCTTGTTTAATAGCAAAAAAACTCAACTACACATAAACACACACGACAACACACCCACATACAAACGTTAAAGAAAATTCTGTAAATTTTTTATTGTTTAATTTATAAGTAAGCGAAAAAAGCAAAACAAAAAAGCAAGTGGGAAAAAAGCGAGAAGATAACGATTGAAAAGAATATGCGAATTAATTCTTTTTTCTATTGTGATATAAAATGTATTGTATAAAAAAGAGGAAACATAAGCAAACAAAAAATTAACGCTAAAACAACAATTACGTAATTTTATTTAAGCAGCGACGAGACGAGGCGAGATAAAAACAAAACAAAAAACACTTGAAGCAAACAAAAAGCGAAAAAAAGAATAAAAATTAAATTAATTAAAATTAAATAAATATGTACAATGTTATGTTAAGTCCGGTTTCCACCACCTCTCTGTTTTTGGATTAGTTAAATGATCACACGATTCGATAAACTTTTGTTGAAAACTGCAATATACTGAATGCCTTAATTCTTTTGCAAAACTATCTATGTATATTATTATTAACTATGTTGATTCTGCGAGAACCCTTTGAGTTTCGATTTGCAAGTTTTCCCTAGATCTAAGTTTTTTTTCGGTCGATTGATATTTCTGTTTTAGGAGGCGAAAATCATCCTCCCACCCACTAAAAATTCGAAAGATGATGGCGACGTGAAAGGAAAAGAAAATAAATTAAATATGTATAAAAATCCAACAACAAATGCCTTTACTTTTATTGATTGAATAAAGGGAGAGTCTTATGCTGTGTTTATCTTGCCAAAGAAATGGGTAAATATTCAATGCACACAGAGAAAATAGGGAACTAAAAAAAAGAGAAATATGAAACTAATTTAAGGAACTTTTAAGAAAAGCTAAGATATTATAAAAGGGTTTAGGTAAAGTAAGGTAATGAAAAAGACTTTAAACAAAATGATGATGGATGATAATCACGGTTTCTAAATACTTACTTGGGAATTATAAGCTTTGTAGAAGCATACTTACCGTTTAACTTACAAAATTTATAAAATTTCTTCTATTCCTGCTAGCTTTTATTTTGTTTTAATTTTTTCCAAGTATTTAAAGGTATTTTAGGCATGGATAGAATGTGACTATAGATACTTTTTACTCTTTCGAACTTCTAAACTCCAAAATAGAAGGCAATATTTTCGCCAAGTGTTTAAAATGTATTTTATTCAGACATGCATGGAATGTGCGAAAGTGTGGGTGCTTCTGCATTTTGTAATGAACAAAGGGCCCCTTGCACTAATGCAATTGCAATGAAATGTGCAGCCAGCCAGAGATGCAGATGCCGATGCCGATATATGTATATACATATATGTTTATATATATATATGTATATGTATATATAGCATAGCAGATATGTGCGTATATGGCATATGCGGTTATGCAACGCACACACGCACTGATATGTACTGCAATTATTTATATTGCCTGCATTATGTATAAGCATCGATGCATTTACAAACACATGCAGGCGACCATGTACTGCCAGCCTCATATCCCTGTGTACACATAACGGTTTTACTTGCTTGCTAACTGCTTAAATTTGCATTAAATGTGCGTATGCGTCAAGTGCGTGTATGTGTCTGATTATGTACACAAAAGCCCAGCTATGTGTGTGTGTGTGTGGTGTATGGAAACCCACCCAATTGGAAATTTTGCATTTATTCAATGGTCAGAACCTCAAAATTAAAGCTTTAAACAGCAGAGGCAGGACTCAGTCCCAGATTCAGGCATTATCCGATTGAAAGGATCTCCAAGAGAGATTTACATCCTTTGGGGGAAGCCCAGAGTCCTAGGCTTATTTTATATTTTTATAACAAAGGAAATTAAAGGATTATGAAATGGTAAAATTTTAAATATATTTATAGTCTTATAAAGGTTATATTTTTTAATTCGTAAGTAACGTAGGTGATGTTTATCTTAAAGATCTAGTATAAATCTCAACTATGAAATACTAAAGTTTCAGATACATTTTTCGATTTACAATGAATGCGTTTTACTAAACCTTAGACTGGTCTTAGGTAGAATACTAGCTAGTTTCTGTCTTGCATTTTAAAGTAACACTAAAATAATATCTTTCCACAATGTTTTAAACTAAAAAGAAATTGACTAAACTTCTGTTTCTTACGGCCATGCCTAGATCGACTCGGCTGTTAATGTTGTATACAGTTTATAGGGTGGAAAATAACTAATTTACTACCTTGCACTCTTCTGACTAATATTATAATACCCTTCAACGGTATACTAATTCAGATATTCTATAATATTAACTAAAAAAAAAGTACTTTTTAATATGGAAAACTTTAGTTGTTATTTACTTAGCAACTCAAGTTTAAAAAAAACTTTTCCTAAACCATTAAATAGATTTCGATCTGGAAATACCCTTATTCGGGGCAATGTAAATCCCGGTTAATTCCAAGTTGGGTATTTCTAGTGCTATAACCTGGACCCGAAGCTGGAACTGGCGTTTAAGTTAGTTTTTACTTAAAATTCAAGTCACAAAACCTGACTCAAGCACCGCTGGCCGCCCCTTGTTTTCCCCCCCAGTTGCGAGACCTGAATCGGTGTGGTCCCAGTTTCTGTTTCTATTTCTATTTCTGTTTCTGTTTGTGCCTCAGCTGCGACTGCGACTGCTAGTGCGACTGCGACTGGAACTGGGAGCGCGGTCGTGTGCCGGGCAAAATGTTGTTTAGCCAACATTTGCATTCTATGAATTTTGAATTTTCTAAAACGCAGCCGTAAGATATCGTCGGTCGAGTCACGACAACAACAGCTACGGGAACAGCGATGGGGTCCCGATTCCCAGTTGCCAGCGCAGTTCCACGTTTCTGGGGGTCCATGGGGCTGATGTCAGAGCTCCCGAGCTCCCAAGCTACCAGCTCCAGAGCTCCAGAGCCCAGACCTCTAGAGTTTCCATTGCCTATTGCTTATCTTATCAATGCGTCGACGTTGGCAAACAAACAGAGTCACCCCCCCTATGGGCCAACACCACCCACCGAACGGGCCTTTTGACTTATCGGTCACAGCGGGTGGAGTGTGTGGAGATTGGAGTACAGAGTGTGGAATGGACTCCGGGGGTAGGAATCAACTGGAGTGGTATCGCATGCAGGGGAGCGCTGCAATTGCATTTGCGTCGTGCGGTGGGAGCAGCTGCAATTACTGCACGGGGAAAAAATAACTCTTTTATATAAATATTAATTATAAAAATGTTATTTAACAATACTCTTATTGTTTAAAATTAAACTAAATATGATGTTTTTAGATTCCTTAAGCATAGTTTTTGCTTGTATATAAAAAAAGGCTTATTCATCAAAAGGTCCTTCAGGTTGAAATTAACTATAACCTATACGAATTTTAACTTTAAAGGCATCACTTTTTATTTTTCAAATTTAAATACATCTAAAATTCTAGAAAATTGTTTGTCCCACGCTTATAAAAAAGCTAATTGGAGTCTCTTGATAAAGAAAATTCTCAAACCAAATATATATTTTTTAAGACAAAAACCAACAGCAAAAATAGAAAGAGTTCACCAAAAACTGTCTTATATATTTTTTATTATAAAAGAAACCTGTCTTATTTTTGCCATGTGTGCGGCCTTCTTGTGGGGGTCTCATTAGCATGGCCGTGGCAGTGAAAGTCGTTGAGGGGGGATCCGTATCCGGATCCTGAGAGCTGGGAGCTGTGCGCTGGGTGCCATGTCCCGAGTCTAACTCCCATTTATCAGCATTTTCCACACACTCGCCATGAGACGAATTTCAAAATCGATTCGATGTTGCTGTTGCTGCTGCTGCTGCTGTGTTGCTTGGCCGTAATGTCGCACAGGGAGTTTTGGGCACGGAGTTTGAGTTTGCGACTCGACGGCAGTCTGGCATCCAAATGTGTTCCTTCCACACACACATACATATATACAAACACACACATACACAGGGACTCACAGTAACAGCGAAGCAAGGAAACTCGAAGGGAGAGCCAGGGCCAGGGCCAGAGCCAGAGCCAGAGCCGGCGAGCAACCCTTCGCACGCTGCGATTCGTTCGGTCTAGCGCTTTGAATTTGAACCCCCGTTTTTTCAAAGGACTAACTTCAAATGCCGAAAATAAATGCCCCTCGCTCCGCCGGCCACGCTGCCTTAGCTGCCTTCGCTCCCTCTGCCTCTGCGCCAAAGGGAAATGCATTCTACGTACATAAAAAAATAGAAGGAACGAAGAAATTTTAATCCACAACGGACCCGTCCCCGTATGTGTGTCCCATGGATACCCCTGTGTGCTGTTGTTGTTGCTCTGGCTGTGTGCGTGCCAGGGATACACATTTCGTGAATGCCGCCCAAGGTGACCAAGGAATGGCTAAAGGATATTCGAGGCACCACCATTGGTAACACCACCGAAACAGCCCTAGCACCACCACCATCTGCAATCGCGGCAAGGCTATCACGGCAGCTACAAAATACAGCAGAAACAACAGACACAGATACAGATACATCTACCTGCCTCGCTGAAAGACGGATGCTGCATGCTGGGGATCGGAATGTGGAAACAGGTGTCCTTGAAGCGAGAGCAGGAAGCGTTCGGTGACTAATCTGGGCAGGCACCGAGGCCTGGACTGAGAGAGTTTTCCTGGGAAATCTCAGACAAGTGACTAAGCTGAGCTGAAAGTATGCCAAAATCTTAAGAGAGTGGATATGGATATTCTTTGAAATTCAATATGTTAAGTTTACTGACTTACTTTTGGGTAATTAACCTCAAATTGTAGAGTATTGAAAATGAATTAAACAAGCTTAAAGATACAAGTTCAAATAAGCATTAATTTTAAATAAATAAAATGTAATAATAAGTATACTTAATAACAGAACATACAGGCAGCTTAAAACTTATTTTTTAAGAACATTTCTATAAGAAATAACATAGCCATTCTAAAACTTCCCACCTTAAATCCTTAGTTTAACTCAAAGTTCTCAAATACTTTATTTGTTAAAGCTTTTTTTGCATTAATTTTTCACTACAGAATTTTCCCTCAAGGAACTTTAACTTTTGGAAATCCATTTGTTCCTTCTACGTCTAACATGAGAAGGAAAATCAGTGAAGATATCGCCGGGCAAATGGAATGTGGGCAAAACAGCAGCGTCTGAAACAACAAAAACAACCTGAGCGAATGTGAAACAA